AGGAAGAATAGAACACTCATTGACATGGCAAGATCTATGCTTAGTGAGTACAATGTGAGTCAATCCTTTTGGACCGAAGCTATCAACATGGCTTGCTATTATAGCAACCACCTATATTATCACCCATTGAAAGAGAAGACACCTTATGAGCTCTTGAATGATAGAAAGCCCAACATTGCATATTTTTAGGTATTTGGTTGCAAATGCTACATATCGAAGAAATGCACTAGATTAAGCAAGTTTGACAAGAAGTGTGATGAATGATTCTTACTTGGATACTCAACCACTAGCAAATCATATAGAGTTTGGAATTTGACAAGTGGTACTCTTGAGGAGGTTCATGATGTTGAATTTGATGAAACCAAGGGTTCCTAAGATGAAAATAAGAACTTGAAAGATGTTAAAGACATTCAATTTTTAAAAGCCATAAAGAACATGGATGTTAGTGAATTGAGGCCTAGGCAACTGGTAGATGAAGAAGATGATCAAGTGCAAGTGCTCTCTAACTCAAGTATGCAAGATGATACAAATCAAGCAAATACAAGTTACTCTCATGACAATGTGCAAGATCAACAAGTGGCTAGTAAATCATCACAACCTAATGATCAAGCAAGTGCAAGCAATGTTCTAATACTCCAACCAACCAATATTGCAAGACATCATCCATTGGACACCATAATTGAAGATATTTCTAGAGGTGTACAAACAAGATCAATATTGACTTCATTTTATGAGCATTTCTCATTTGTGTCATTCATTGAACCAAAAAAGATAGATAAAGCATTGAAGGATATTGATTGGTTGAATGCTATGCATGAAGAATTGAACAACTTCACAAGAAATCAAATATGAGAATTAGTTGAAAGACCAAAGAACCACAATGTGATTGGAATAAAATGGGTTTATAGAAATAAGCAAGATCAAGATGGGATAGTAGTAAGGAACAAAGCAAAATTGATAGCACAATGTTACACTCAAGTTGAAGGTCTTGACTTTGGAGAAACATATACCCCGGTTGTTAGATTGAAAGCAATTATGATCTTATTAACCTATGCTTGTGCCCACAACATCAAGCTCTATCAAATGGATGTCAAGAGTGCATTTCTCAGTGGCTATATTAATGAAGAAGTATATGTTGAGCAACCTCCCGGTTTTGAAGATGACAAGAAGCCCAACAATGTGTATAAGTTGAAGAAGGCATTGTATGGCTTGAAGCAAGCACCTAGAGCATGGTATAAGAGGTTGATGGATTTTCTACTCTAAAGGGTTCATAATAGGCAAGGTTAACACCACTCTTTTCACCAAGAAGATTAGCAAGGACTTGTTTGTGTTGCAAATCTACGTGGATGACATCATATTTGGATCAACCAATTAAGATTTTTGTGAAGAGTTTGAAAAGATGATGGCTAAAGAGTTTAAGATGTCCATGATTGGAGAGTTAAGTTACTTCCTTGGTCTTCAAATCAAGCAATTGAAGAATGGTACATTTGTGAGTCAAGGCAAGTACATTAAAGATATGCTCAAGATGTTTGGAATGAATGATGCCAAGTCAATTAGTACACCCATGGGAACAAATGGTAATTTGGATAGTGATGCAAGTGGCAACATGGTGGATCAAAAGTTATATCGCTCTATGATTGGAAGCCTACTCTATGTGACTGCATCAAGACCGGATGTCATGTTTAGTGTGTGCATGTGTGTAAGATTTTAAGCCCCACCAAGAGAAAGTCATTTGAAGGCAACAAAGAGAATATTGAGATACTTGAACCATACATAAAATGTTGGTTTGTGGTATCCCAAAAGAACAAAGTTTGAGCTTGTTGGATATTCGGACTCTGACTATGTGGGATGCAAAGTTGAAAGGAAGAGCACTTCGGGCACTTATCAATTGTTGGAAAGATCACTTATTTCATGGTCATCAAAGAAATAAAATAGTGTTGCATTATCAACCGCCGAAGCCAAATACATATTCGCCGGTAGATGTTGTGGACAAATACTCTGGATAAAGGCCACCTTAAATGACTTTGGAATCAAGTTTAAGAAAGTGCCATTGCTATGTGACAATAAGAGTGCAATCAAGTTAACCAACAATTCGGTTCAACATGCAAGAACAAAGCACATTGATGTCCGTCACCATTTCATTAGAGATCAACAAAAATGGGACATTTGCATTGAGGGTGTGGGCACCAAAGATCAACTTGCTGACATATTCACCAAGCCACTTGATGAGAAGAGATTTTGCAAGCTTAGAAATGAGTTCAACATATTGGATTTCTTAAATATGTTTTGATGCAACCCCACTTATATGACATGCCTCTCCTTCGAGCAATCCAAGGTAAAATTGTTTGGCATGTCATACATCCTTTGCTAAGAACATGTTTAGTGAATCTAGTCATTCCTCACATTTAATAGGCTTATTCATGAAAATCAAATGAATTTGATGCTTGTATGGTACCACTATTGCTTCTATGTTTTGACTTGATCTAGTGGTAGCATATAACATGTTTGTCGGCTTGTGAACCTAGTGTTTAATCTAGAAAATGAGCTATAAGTGTTTAACTCAACATGATCAAAATAACCATTGAAATGAGGAGTGAAGAAGCTTGTCATTGGATCAAACCGAGTTAAATATCTTAGGCAAGTGTTCTAGATTGGACCAAATTTGAGAAAATAATCATCACCCCATTAATTGACATTGGTAATCTTAACCTATCTAAAATTGAATCTTTGTGGTCATTGATGACAAATGAGAGAAGTAACGCACAAAGATAGTGAAAAGATGACAAAGGGGGGAACTTTGACATAGAAGGAGAAATATGAAAGTAAGGGGATTAATTAAAATTTAAGCACATAAATAGAGGGAGCAAGCTCATAAACTTGATTGATGCATTTGAATGTGCATTCACATATGCTTGATTGCATTTGAAAAGTTTAAATTCAATATACATGCTTGTGTGGTGTATGCTAGTTGTAGGTTTGAATGATGAAATGATAAACTAGCATGCATAGGTGGTAGTTAGATATGCCTTGCTTTGATTTTACAAGTGGTACTAGAGCCTTGCATATAATGTTGATCTCACGAGGTATCTAGTTCTTGTCTTTGCAAATGGTATCTAACTAACAATGATGCTAAGGATGGTGTACCGATGTATCAACCAAAAAAACAGGAACAATCTTAGGACAGAAGCCCTCTTAGCAGATAATCAGCCTTCTGCATATATTGTTCTACCTGATATGACCTGAAAAACGTGCTATTGGGAAGGGAAATAACTCCTACGCATCAGATTGCTACACATATCATCTAAGCTTTCAGACAAGGCAGCTATCACTTATCAGGTAAGGTTCAATATCACATGAGTTTGTGATTGCCAGTCTAAGCAAGGTAATTTAGCTAGATTTTAGCAAGTTGTGAAATTAAGGAACGGACTACCCCAAGCAATTAACATGGATCATCAGAGCAAAAGGATATAGCTTCTCCCTCGTGAAGACTAGGGGCATCAAAGATCTTGCAAACATTCTGTTCGCCCTTGTCTTTCTTCAGCATGACTGCATGAGGTGGCAGCATGCGCCAATACGCGGGCACACGGCCACCTGCTGGTTTCTTGGGATCAGCTATTGCCTATGAACATACGACCACCCAGATCAGTGAAACTCATTAATCAATAAACAATCTTGGATCAGCAACATTGAACTCTTCAGCAATCTTGGTAATGTGGGACAGTATCTGTGCTAACTTTTGCTGCAATTTCATAGCACATTCCCATAAGCAAGTATATATATGTGTATCAATGGTACCCTTCAAGTGTTTTACGAGTTGCTTACTGTCAATGAAATTAACTGGTGAGAATACCTGGCACTTTGCAAGTTCACCCCTGGCACTGAAATAAACAGGCAAAATAGTGCGAGCACAGGGTCCACATCTGCTTTGAGGACAAAAGAAATACCACATGAGCACTTCGCAGTTCCATAACTGCCAGAAGCCTGAAAGGTGCTTCAGCCATCTTTGCATCAAGGCCCAGGAGCAAATTGTACTGTGCTCAGCATTCTGTCCTTCCAAATCTATGGACCAGCAGTTAACTCCTAATGTCATCACACAAACAAAAGTAAACCTCAAATGAGTTTCTGCAAGCAGAATGGGTTAGCTAATAACTTCAAATTTTTCCAATAAATATGCAGGAATGGAATCAAACATGAATTCTGATTGTCTGTCAGACAAAATAATAAAATTTCAATTTGTGTACCACATTCAAATTCAAAGGGAATATCAGATCCATATGGTATACTGAAAGAAATTAATAGAAGATTTATGCACAGAACATTAGGAATGTGTGCTTTGGTGGTGGAATAGTGGATAACTCACCCAAATGCCGCTGGGCTATTAGATACATAATGGACCAGGAAAACTTCAAATCATTTAATGGCTTACACACGGTAAGGACAAATTGATTAGCACGCACTGAACTGAGAAGTAACAGATTTCAATATATGACAATTGGACAGCTGTGTGAAAGAAACTGAACCTACAGAAACAGGGCAGCTTATGGCAAAAAAAAGTACTCAGGAAGTAAGACTAATACTTTTTCAATCAGCAAAAATTGCAATCCGGTGATTCACTAGCAATCTAGCATAAAACAGCTCCACCTATTAGAATATACAATTGCAAAAGAAGGTTTAATTAATACTCCCTCCGATCAGCAAAAGCTGACATTTCAGACAGCTATATAATAAGCTAGAAGCAAGTCACTATTATTGTCTGAAACGTCAATCTTCAATTCTAAATTGACCGGAGGTAGTAGTATGAGAATCAGAAGTCCAGAAGCAACGTGTGATAATATTGGAAGGACGATAAATAAGATATATTGGAATCACCAGTAGGAAAGATACGAGATGATAAAACAAGATCATGGTTACACCACGGTAATGAGCAAACACATAGGGTAGCTGGAACACACACGGACAGTTGGACACGATACGCACACATACAGGCTACTTGTAGATTATTACTTCTTGTTGATGACTGTGACGGTGCCGTCCTTGTTAGCGACGATGACGGTAGTGGCCATGCCAAGAAACATGCCGTGCTCGACGACGCCAGTGATCCGGAGCAGGCGGTCGCTGATGTCCCTCAGGTCGCCGCGGATACCGTCCTCGAAGAACATCTCCACGATGTAGTTGCCGTTGTCGGTGAGGAACGGCGCGTCCAAGCCATCCCCCTTGGGGGCGGGGACCGTCCTGAGCCTGGCGTGGAAGCCGAGCACTCCGTCGAACACCTTGCGGATGAGGCCCAGCGTGTGGGGCGCGCCGAAGGGGATGACCTCGACGGGGACGGCGCCCGTGCAGCCGAGCCTGGGCACGAGCTTGGACTCGTCGACGATGACGACGAACCGGTCGCCGGCGCCCTCGACCATCTTCTCCCGGAGCAGCGACCCGCCGCGGCCCTTGACGAGGTTGAGGTCCGGGTCGACCTCGTCGGCGCCGTCGATGGAGAGGCGGATGCCGCCGGCGCCCGAGGCCGAGGCGGCGTCCTCGAGCGGGAGCAGCGGGATCCCGACGCGGGCGGCGTGGGCCTCCGTCTTGAGGGAGGTGGGCACGCCGGCGACCCCCGGCAGCGCGCCCGCGCGGAGGAGGTCGCCCAGGCGGTCCAGCGCGTGGCCCGCCGTGGAGCCCGTGCCCAGGCCCAGCGTCATGCCGGGCTCCACGAACTCCACCGCGCGGTGCGCCGCCACGCGCTTCAGCTCGTCCTGCGTCAGATTCCCGGACGGCGGTGGCGGCGGTGAGGCGGTGGCGGCGCTGCCCATGGTGAGGGGCGGTGGCGGGAGCAGAGCAAGGGAGGCTTGGACCTTGGAGTGGCGGCGCGCGTATCCACAGCCGCAGTGTGTGCAGAACGCTTGGATGGGCGGGACTGGGGAGAAGTGCGAGCGCCGAGCGGGCCGGACCGGGCCGGCATGTTTCTGGCCGTCCATCCGTGAATCGGGATCCATGTTTTGCCCTAGCAAAGCTAGCTAAAATTTGCTAAAAAAAAGCTAAAATTGGTAATTTTGGAGCAGATTATTTCTTTTACAAGAACATAAAGCTCTTGCTCTATTTTCATTATTACTATGATCAAGTGGTATAAGTTGCAATTGTCTGTCTATTCACTTCATCATTCAGGCCCTGTTCGCTTCTCTTATAGTCCGTCTTTTTCAGCTTGTTTTTTCAGCCAGAATAGTATTTTTCTCTCACAACAAATCAGTCGGAGTAGTGTTTCGGCTTGTTTTTTTAGCGAAGCGAACGGGTCCCAGTGTATTGATTGATGGTAGGATCCTTGTATGGACAAGTGAATCCATCGAGAATGCCAATGTTCTAACATTTCTTCTAGGAAGGAGTAATAATAAATCGGAAATTGACATATTGAAGCTTCTCTACATGATGATGCCTTTTCATATACTAGCTTATAAATTTCACTTTGCTTGAAAGAAGATGCTTCTTTGGATTTCCTACTGAAACAATAAAGAATATCAGACCATTCAACTGCAAAACCATGTGAAAACGTATTGAAAATGCTCTTCGGCACGCCAGGCTGACGGGCTGAATAGCTGAGGACGGTTTTGCTTTTTGACAGGCTTGGACATTTGCCGGCCTGGACGGCATCACTTCCCAGGCTACGCAATGGCTCACGATTTTCTTTTAGTTGATTTTATCCATGAGAATAGGAATTCAAATGTTGATGTTCACACTCTAGTTAGGAGTTTGATTTCTTTTGATACAGGCAGGCATGTGTGGTTTTTAGAACCGCTTTTTGGCATTTGTAATTCTGTTGACCAAGTGCATCAATAAAGAGTGTGGTGATTTCTAAAAAAAAAAGAGAGAGAGGCTACGCATTAGGAATTAGGAATGAGATTACCCTGCCTCATGTTTTGAAATTATTAACAAGCCAGTAAGTTATTATTTTTCTCAAAAAAAACAAACCAGAAATTATAAAAATATAAATGTAGAACTTGGACTCAAAGCAAAAAAAATACTTATTGTATTTTTATTTAATTAAACTTGAAAATTTATATTATTATGTTATTATAAACTATATGTGATAATAATAATAAAATAATAATAATAATAATAATAATAATAATAATAATAATAATAATAATAATAATAATAATAATAATAATTTAGAATTAGTTTGATAGGGGCTGCGCGAACGCGTACCCTCTCTGCCACAAATTACGACGTCTACTCTCCTTGAGGAGATGGTAAGCTAGTGCTCCTCCCAAGTGTAATGGAGGCCACTGGCTTAGGCCATGACCCTTCTTGATCAGCCATAGACTCCGTCCAAGTATGGATCAAAGTATCCCTACCTCATGTTTTGTATGCTCCCCTTCTGATGCTCTTCTTTTTCGCAGTACGGTACTAAAACTTGCGTTCCAGCTGTTCACGGATGAAGCTTGCAGTGGGCCTTTTCGGCCTTGCACGAGGGCAGCCCATGGACCACTCTTCAGTCTTTACCACGCAGCGAGCCAGCAACCAACAGGGGGAGGAGGTTGGAAAAGTCTACGTTAATTTTCCTTCCCGGACTCTAAAACCGGGTAAACCATCTCCTTAAACTTTTAAAACCGTTCGTTTTACCTCCCCGACCGGTTATAAGCGGTTTTCAAAGGTGGTTTTGTCTTTTTCTTTTTTTTATTTCGACTAAATTTTTCAAAAATCATAGTAAATCATAAAATAGAAAATCTAATTTTATTGGACTCCAAATGAGTAGATCTACACAGTGAATATATAATATGGTATCCTTTGGTACAATTTTTTTGTCGTAGCTTTAGATCTATGTTTTTCTATAATTATTTTATAGCTGCAGTTTCTATGCTCCAATTGTGGTAAAATTTATATGGTAAGCTAATTATTGTATGCTTGAACTATATTAAAAATTTCAGACTCATTGGATCATATATAACTTAGTTATAGATTTATTTAGGTGTATGCTTGTTAAAAAGTATTTATAAATCTATAACTAAGTTACACATAATCCAATGAGTATTAAATTTTTACTATAGTTTAAGCATGCAATAATTAGTCCACCATAAAATTTTCATCACAATTGGACCATAGAAACTGCAGCTATAAATTAATTACATAAAAGTATAGATCTAAAGCTATAGTAAAAAAATTGTGCTAAAGCATACCATATTATATATTCACTGTGTAGATCTACTCATGTGGAGTCTAACAAATTTAGATTTTTTATTTTATTATTTTTCTATGATTTACTATGCTTTTTCAAAGATTCAGCCAAAATAAATAAAAAAAACAGACAAAACCACCTTCGAAAACAGTTTATAACCGGTCAAAGGAGGTAAAACGAATGGTTTTAAAAGTTCAGGGAGATATTTTATCCGGTTTTAGAGTTTATTGAGGAAAAATAGATTTTCGCAAAAGTTAAAGGCGGTAATATGAACTTTTTCCGAGGAGGTTTCACGCTCAAAGCCATGTGCCATGGACCGTGGATGGGTCATCGTGGGTTGGGTTACGGTACTTCTTCTGTTCGATTTTAGGACACAATTAATGTTCAGAATTGACTGATTGACTACAATTCATCCGCGGCGGGATTTGTGCATGTACAAAGTCGACTCGCTAGTCTTTTTTTAGGCTCGCTAGTCTTTTTTCAAGTGAAATGAGCACGAGGCTAAGGTCCTGTTTGATGGAAAGTATTTTTGAAGTATTGAAAAAATACTATGGTTTTACAAAATACTTTGGTTTTTAAAAGCTACTAGGTGTTTGAATGCAACAGATCTTTTAGTCTCTAAAACTATGGGTTTTTTCAAAACTATAGTCTTTTGGAGTTTTAAAAACTCCACTCATGACCTCTTTTTTCTAAACCATGGTTTTATTTTGTTTTTCTTATAAAATCATAGTTTTGTGATACTACAGTTTTCAAAAACCGCATCATCCAAACAAGCCCTAATAGTCCATATTTCAGTTTAGCTGTGCAGCTTATTATTACTGCTTTTTTTAAGATTTATTATTACTGCTTTGAGTGATGGGATTTCATTCTTTGTGCGAAGTGTAAGTTATCTATTCCAAGAGAATTAAAGTACTGACCCACAAGAATTACAAGGTTCCCCAAACTCCTATTAGATGAAGTACAGAAGAACCTTCAAAAATAGATGTTCTGAAGCTGCTAGCCTTTACTTGAAATTGATTTCTTTTCATTATACCTAAGGCAAGGTACTTTAGAGAATGCTATCTTGAATTCCTCCCAAAGTAACAATGTTATCTTGATCCTCCCAAAGTAACAATACCTTGTGGAAGTCAATAAAGGAAATTCCCTAGACAGAGTTAGCTACAAAAGGATGTGAAAGATCAGAAAGTTATCATGTTCCTAATAATTCCTTGTGTGCTACTGACACCCACATTTTATCCGGAATCAACAAAGCAACAACTTACATCTGGCATTTTTGTGAAGTTGGAAGGAGCCAAGTGTTATATCGAGATGTTGGAAAAGGTGACATGCTTCTCTTCCTTGCAAAATCTTTTTGCCCCTGAATCTCGGGATGAGATTACATTAAGGGGAGGTTGTAACACCCTAGGTATTAGTACCGGCTAAGCGGTGAGACTAGACTTAAACAAGATATATCAAGTGGTGGCAAGGTGTGGAGTTTTACTCTTCTAACATGAGCCCTAACCTAAACTTTTTTGCATGTTTATTTTTTCAAAATATGCATGGTTAGTGTTAATCATGTCCTTTCCAATTGAGTTAATAAAACCTTGACCATGATCACCATCAAGCATAATCATTAATCATTGTGGCATAAATACATTTCATGTTTCAAGTATAGCTTTCATATCTTAGTTATGTGTGTGCATGAAATGTTGACAATAATATTGATTAAGATACTTTGTGATTTTAATGGATTGTAATTTCCTTAAACAAATAAAATTTTGTCAATATAAATTTTGGAGTACAAAGTATGTTCTTTAATATAGAATCAAAGTTTGTTTGTGTTTCCAAGTCAAACATGTTTAAATATGAGCTCAAAATTTGTATTCGACACTGATTTTCAAACTTAAGCCATTTTGACTTGTCCCTGAATACCAGTTATGGAATTTAGATTTTGGTGAATTATTAAATCAATTTTTATATATAAAATTAGTGCAAATTTGATCCTATGAATTGGTATGAAGTTTGTACTATGATAATGTGCCTTTGGTTGTGATGTTTGAGAGTGGTTTGACCACTAATTAATTACCTAAACATAGTTAATCAAAGTTGTTTTTCAAAATCTTGAAATTGAATTCAGTTTTTTTCAGTTTCAAGTATCCTTCTTCAGAATTCAAAATCTCTGAATCTATTGATCTTTTGATATTGGTTCTTAAAGCAAAGATGAAGATCAGAGAGGGATTAGCAGCTTTGGTTATTGGAGCTTGACATGTTTCTACATGAAATCAGGAGAAAATGAGAGAAGAATATCGATTGTCGAGGCCCTTGCTCTGATTACCTCGGCAGCTGTTAGCTTGCCCTGTTCATCGGCAGCCACCGTAGCACTTCGAGGTCCTTCTCGCGCGGGAACGCGCGGCTGCGTGTGTGTCCAAGCCCATGCGAGAGCTGGCGATGTTGGAGTGCTCATCCTCGCCCCTTTTAAGTCCTAGCGCCGGCCGCCGTCTTCTTCTTTTCCTTCTCAGCTTCACGCTGCCATGGCCGCCGCCTGAAGCTCCGTGACCCCGCTGGTTCTTGCCGCCTCATCCTTTCCCGAGCCGGTCACCACTCCCACTGAGCCACCTCCACGTTCTCTATAACCGCCGTGCCCTAGAGCCTCCTTCCCTTGTA